GAAATGATTCCCCAAATGGAAGTTTGGACAAAATCTTAAAACTACTAGTAAAATCTACTACGCCACCCAGACCACTACCCTATTTGAAATGAGATCCTGCGGGCAGGTAAGATAATGAGTGGTTGTAGCGCTGTAAACTATGGCTGCAGATTCATAAGTAGCTCTGAGTTAATTATTATTCCGTAGTGGTCTCTGAACCTTCCCGAGTATATCACAGTGCTTGCATGTATTGCCATTGCATTTAATTAGATAAGACCTATCTAACCACAACTTGTACAAAACACTACTCCAAAATCATTTGTCATTTGCAAGCGAAATTGCCTTGCCTTCATAATGCTTAAGTTGGATAATGAAATAACTAATTAAAGGTGGGTGGTATCGATAAATTTTTACTGAAAACAGACAGCTGCTGTCTACGGCTGTTGTGCTAGTTCCAAGGCATCGCCTAAGGCTCGTTGTGTGCTTCCGCACAAAACTGTCATCTCCTTTGAGGAACACTAGAGACACTGGTAGTGTCCCCTCACCAAAGGTCTTATTAATTTGTACGACACCTTTAAAAATTTGGTGACTTAATCGCATTAGCTTGTCACCCTCAATTATCGCATCAATTAAGTCGGGTGGAAAATGTTAGTCCTCCAGCGTGCTATCGATTTTCTCACGCGGACGCTTGCGGCTGCACGCGCGCGCACACACGTGAGGTGCGGCCGTGGTGGTAGTGGCCAGGTGGGAGCGATGCAGCCAGCGCCAGCGAATTCATAAGCGATTGTAGGCGTTTGTGTGTAATGGACTACTGCTACTGCTGCTACTCCTGCTGATGCCAGAGCCTTACTCTACTCCCGCCTCTCTCACGCCTCCGGCTCATCACAGCAAGGTAAGCGGGCAGGCTGACAGGCGGTCGGCGAAATTTCGTGGTGCATCCCTCCACGGCCCTCTTAACCACATGAATAAAAAAAGTAGTGACTCACGTGTGACTGTCAGATAAACGGTGCAGAAGTCCGAGAGCTTTAAAGACTGAGGTAACATTCAATACTCTTGAAATGCCAGCCGCAGTTCTGCGATTTTATTTGTATTCATTTCGTTAAATTACGGAGGTTTTGTTGGACTCAAATTGTAGTCGAACATGGAAGTAAGGACTGCAGAACGCTGCGCACTATTCATCAGCACAGAAAATATAAATCTGATGATTGTAATCCAAGCATAGCATACTTTTTTATCCACTCTAAGCTCATTCACTTATAAATTTGCAACCGTTCAACTCAATCAACTAGCCTCGAATTAGTGATGAAGCTAAAAATTTTAACGAGTGAATTAAGAAATGGAACTACATTAATTGAGATTATCCAAATTAATATTGAAATGGAATATGGCAGTGCTGATCCAATGTTCTATGGGAGTCACTCACTCAGAGACTGTTCGAAGGTTCATGTTAATCAGAGCGAATGTGGTTGTGGTAGTGATTGTTGCTGCTGGGTAGTAACGGAGACATGAGGAGGGCTATGAGGAAGTGACATTGTGAATGTGGGACGCAATTGTGTGTCAGTCCCGAAATCGGCTCACACGACCCTATTTATGGTCCTCTTATTGAGAATTGCCTTGGGATAGTGAGTTATCTCAAACCACTTAAATAATTTTCGGAAAATGGAGGCGTTACAAAGCAAATATACTTCAAAGTGACTTCTGCAGACGCGTGAAATGGCTGGCGGACTTACAATACAGCATCAGTAGTCAGCGAGGCTGGAATAAAATGCAAAAGGTGCTGACACTCCCTCGCCTTGGATAAAACGAATTCAGCTTCTTGCACATTGCAAGTTCTTTTTTGGGAACACCTTCATGTTCGAGCAAATGAACAAATTTCAGACCATCCGGGGCCAAGTGGTACGTAGAAAAGGCACATTAGTAAAATTACATCGTCATTTCACATTATCCTCGGCGAACCTTGCCTTTCGTTCTGCATCAACATAGACATCAAGCTCAGTGGGGCAACAATGCCACCGTTCAACGCAATGATGATACACAGTTTTCTTCGAAAAGGATCTAAAGATAATGACGAGAAATGAAGCACGGTTGAAGTACTTATGTGTTCCCTATGCGTCTTCGAAGCTGTACCTTTTTTTCTAGGAAGACGCCTGTTTTAAGTAAGGCGTAATCATTTTACAAATCAACTTCTCCGGATCCAATTGGTCAAACATCCTGGTAATAGCTGTGGATGGGGAAAATGTCTTTACAAAAAGGCCCTCACCTGTGCGATCCAACAAAGAGAGTTTTTCGTTATTTTCGTAGTTATGATGCCAGACGTGTTTATATTGTTGCTAAGCTGTTACAAGTAGCGGTGGGGACGGTTGATGAACGCATTTCTATGTTCACTCTGTCTATGGAAAATAAATTTATGGTGCTTTAAAGTGGGATAAAATTAAATGAGGAAAAGAAGCTCTTACTAACAGTTCAGTTTGCGTGACATTAGAGGTGGTTCACAACGTCACCACAATGCATCTGCAACGGTGATCTTGTTGGCACCGAGCTGCGCTTTTGAGCCATTCATTTGGCCTCTCACAACGTTACTTTAGGGGAAGACCGATTCTCTAAACCTCGTTTTATTAGTCACGCTTTAATGCTTAAAAAAGGCTTCAACTATTAGTGAGATGTCTGTGGATGGACTAATGAGGTTGGTGTCTTGTTGATATAGGCAGATAAGTGCGCTTGGACAAAAGGATGGATATTAACGCATCTTCCAAACAGATAAGTACAGGTAAGGGCGCAGGAATGGAGACGATGAGAGAGGAAACTCAGCGAAGGCTACATCGCAGGCAGACGACTCTGGACTCCATGCCACCGCCACACATCGGTCCAGACGGTTTTCCCATCTACATGGAGCCTCCGCACTCCGATGCACCCGACGTGGGCATGAAGGTGAACATACTGACGCGTCTTGTGCACATTCTCATGTGCCGATGTACAAAGCGCTACTACACGGCGTGGATGTGTTCCCTTGGCTTCCTAATCACCTTCGGCATCCGCTGCAACATGAGTTGGGTAACACTTGCCATGGAGCATCACGCTCACCTGGAGTCCGCCGCGATCTCTAAGATAGCTGAAAACATCACCCTCACCACGGTGAGTCCTTGCTCACTCACCATTCTCCACACGATCGTCCATCTTATGCCAACCTATTAACGGTTCAAGCCATACGCTCCTCAACACTTTGAGCGACGGACACTTGGTGGTCGTATGTTCTTAGAGTCGAGCACCCTTTTTGTCCCTTATTTTATCATGTTGACAGTTTATTAGGCAGTTACAAATCCCTCCACTTCTGAAAAGTTGGTGTATTCGCAGAATGCTTGGACTCTCCTTTCTATCAGCCACGCTTGTAAACTCAGGACTCAAAAAATTGCTTAACCCACCAAATATGCTCAGAAGGCCTTTTCTTTTCGCCGACACTTGGTAAATTTTTTTTAAAATTTAGTGAAACTGAGAACAGGAAATGCTGACTTAACCTGTTTATTGAAAATTTTGCCTAACGCAAGCAATAAGATGAACCTATTTCCTTTGCGTTGGCTCACAGGCGAACATAGAGGGTGCGGAAATGAATTGCGCTTCATTTTGAAGTTGTCGTGCCAAGGAGAACGTGAATGAGTCAACTTGTGCATTTATTCCACCAGAGACACCCGCTAGGCAGCATTGTTTGCGCCACCTCGAGGGATGGGTCGGAGTGTACAGACGATTTGACCGAGTCCCCCTTCAAAGCCCTCCCTCCTGTGCACAAGGCAAATGACAATGCATGCAGGAAATAATTGTGTATTCATTAGCACGGAAAATTACGGGCTAATTTAATGTCCTAGTCGTTTAACTAAGATTAGATCTTGAACCGATTTTAGTGAGCAAATGAATGATTGCAAAGCAGTTAATTGAAACATTGAGGGACATCAAACGATCCACAAGCCACAAATTGGAATTTTTGGATGCAGTCATGAGGATTTATGCCGCACCTTGACTCCCCTCTTATTTCCTTCTCGTTTTTAGTCGACATCGTAACCACGTAGACGCAGGCCTCTTCCTCCTTCATTGAATTACTTTTCATAATGTTTGCTTCCCCTCCAGAGCCTGAGATGAGCACTCCCTTGGATGCGTTAGAGAAATTTTACCGAGTTCATTTTGCCACATCCGGACATTCCAAATTTATGTTGGATTCACGAACTGTTGGTGGGGACACGAATTGGTCCAGTCACGTCCCATACTCCTTACCCTAAGCTCTCTCCTCACTCTGGTAGAACTTAGGTGAGCTTGTCATGAGGGCAAATTTACCCTTTACCAGCAAGACGACCAAATGTTGGTCGAGCATAAAATAGCACAAATACCAAACCACTGTCCCCCATTGAAAATGCTTGGGGGCAGTGGAAAGGATCTCCATTAGTTCTACAATAAGGTCTACCCATCAAACTGGGTTAGCAGATCGTTGGTGACAAGCACACGTCAACTCTCACTCCGTGCCTCAAGACACATTTTGCTGATTTTTTGGCGCACTTTATTTAAGGTTACAAGGCAGTGCGCTAGGGCAACTTTAGTTTTAACAGTTGAGCTGGCATTTCCCGGGAGCTATTGCCATTCCACAGCCTAAACGTCAAAAGTCGACTTTTGTGGTGGCTGTTGGAATTAAAGGTGGAATGCTCTCAACAAAAGCTACACCAAAGAGATGATGAGTTCAAAAGCTGGACAGAATAAATGCATCACCATTTCCTTTTAAGCACGCTTTTTCCCTGACCCTCAGACTCAAATATTTGTGCGTGCATGAATTTTTAAGCACTGAGTCACTAATTGCCTAAACATATTGCAACCATGTGGAGTGTCTTTGGATCTGGCGTGGGGTGGAATGGAGGAGTGCGTGCCCATCTGCCCAAATTCTCGATTGCGATTAGTTCTGGCGTCGATGTTGCCCCACTCTAATGAGATCTTCTGAATATGACGTGTCAAATGGAGGAGTAAAAAGCTAACGCTTTCACAAAATTCTTTTTTTTTTTTCAATCCACGGTAGGAAAACTTGAAAGAGTTATGAAAAATGTAGTTAAACTCATCTGATGGCGGGAGCTAATCCAACTATGTAATACCCCTTTGAGTAGGCAGAGTAAATGAGGACGACAAAGAGGTCTGGTATTATACCTTACAAGGTACGTTTGAGAGCGCCGACTTACTGTGCTTTTTAATTATTATAATAGTCATGAAAAATTATTAACTTTTATTTGCTGCACTACGCAAGGTCCACACAGAATTGAATTTGGTTTTACTTATCTCAAAACC